CTACTAGCGTACTGGGCCTTCATGGCAGCGTTGATTCCAGCCCATTTGCGTGGGCTGTCGCAGAACTCGTCGGGACTTGTGCCGGTTTAATTATCGTGATGCCGTTCGAGACCATCCGCCGCCGACTACAAGTGCAGACCCGAGGAATCGCCAAACCCATCAAAGCCTGCGTTGAGCAGCGACCGCTCCCTTATAACGGTGTTGTGGACGCATTCTGGCACATCATTACGGAAGAACGTTCGAACTTACCCGAACGGTGGAAAGGCAAGGGCAAGGAGAAGGATGTTGTGGTGATGAAAGAGAGTTGGTGGAGGAGTATGGGTATCGAACAGCTCTATCGTGGGTTCGGGATGAGACTCACCGCGAGCTTTTTGGTGTTTGTACTCGGTGTCACGAACGGCGGCTTTGACACGGATTCGGGGTGGGCAGAACTATAGACCTACTAATATCTCCCGTGTACGGCATGGGTATACTCATGTTATTCTCACCCAATCCATCACTTTTGCAAAGCTGCTGTTGGTTCCATCCCATCCCGGTGCGAGCTTTGAACGGAGGTGCGAGGTACGCTAATGCAATCAAATCAAGGAGGCCACTTGGGAAAGTGACGGCCTCGGAGTACATATTACGCTTATATGGTTCGGTTGGGATGAACCAAATATTTGGAAGACTCCTTGGGACAACCTCGCAACTCCATCTACTTCGAGCCCACTGGGTGACAGCGTCATCTTTTTGCCCGATCCTTGAGTTTCAACCGTGGCGCACGGTGCGTGGAAGCCTCTCAGATATTGATATTGAGGAGTAAACCGCGCGGGTTACTGGAACCCTTTTGATACGGACATGTATGTTTCTAGCCTTATGGGCAGTCACCCATTGTTGGGTGAAGCCTTGGAACGACAGAAGGGTGCCATTAACCGAGATTTACTCCTCAATATCCAAAGTCTTCCACATCGCATACACCGACGGAACTGGACGACCGAACAATAGGGTGGTACCAGCACATGCTAGGGTTGGAGTAGGTAGGATTGTAGTCCTTCCCGACCCCACAATTCACAAGGTTGGCTGAGTTTCGAGCGGAACGGCCGTAGCATCGTGATTCCAGATGCGCGGTTTGGAGACAATATCGCACGGCCCGACACAGCGGACGGGGTCCCGACAGCTTTCCCTTAAAAGGCTCTGAATATTCGTTTAGAAGTGGGTATAACCTCATGGACGGTCACCCATTCGGTATTTGTGTCAAAATGAGGTGTCAGACGAAAGCGGTATGCTAGGGCGGTCGAACGTGCGTAGTTGTGGCTCGGTACACGATCTTTCCGCCAGGAATATAGAAGAGAGAGTCGGGTGGACAACGTTATGAAAAATGTATTTCTATCCCCGCTGTTCTTCCCTTCCCCCCTCGCTTGAGGAGCCAAGATGACTGAAGCGGGTATGTCATGGTGCCGAATTTTCAAATGCTACCGCAGAACACCCCAGGACTGGAATCCTGGTGCAAGAAGCAAGTTCAACGTGACCCGACGTGACTTACGGATTGGGAGAGCCTCTGGGAAGTACCTGTTTGGGATACAATCACTACGTTGAGCTCGTCGAACCCAGTAGTTATCGTGCTTGCATGAGGCGCTGCGACGATCTCCGGGACTGTCCCACTGACCAAGCCGAGGAAGGCTGTCCAGGGGTCATCCCCGGGAACTACCTCGACTGCGGTAACTGATGGACTCATTGGGGTGGACCAAAACCCTATCGGTCCATCATGCATCACGGACCATATTTTTTCACGGACTGTTTTATCACTGGACGATTTTTTAGTTCACATAATCGCGAGTCTGATGAACTCGCATACTCGCAGTGAATAACAACCCATAATACATTCCGCTATCGATTGGATAGAGCGATGGAGTCTTGTCCCCTGCATTTCCGAACCCACGGGCGTGCCGCGTGGTGGCTGAGGAGCGGAAGCGTTCCGGCCAATCTATGTCCTTCAAGTTGAACTTTAAGCTTCAAGTCTCCCATTGACCAAGGCGGCCGCACAAGTGCTGCCACGATTCCAACACCAGACTTCCTTCTGAACGTCGCCGCGTCAGAGGTTGGTGTTGTGGGGCGGTGGGATCGACCCATCGAGGAAGTTACAGGGGCGGAGAATCCACTACCCCCTGCAAGGTTGATGTCACCGCTACGTCATATAACATACGTATAAAAACCCAGCACCGTTCTTTCATCCTTCTCACAGCTCACATCCCCTACAACTCTGAGACACGATGATTCGAACAACACTTACGAGGTCGTCCATCTCTCGCAGCGTCATTGCTGCGCGCCAATTACATTCCTCCCCGGTTGTTGGGAAGACGGTGGCTGAGAAGGTTACAGAAGTCGCGGACAAGGTCAGAGTTGATACTTTCCAGGCATACGCGAACCGTTTCGCTAACGACGCCGTTCATAGGTTAATAAGTCTGTGGGGAAAGGCCTCGCCAGCGCCATCGATACTGGCGAGAAGGTAGTGCATTCTACCAAACATACCTTCGGTTCCGCCAAGCGCAAGGCGACCGACGCGACTCAGGATGCCCAGGGAATGGCTCAGGAGAAGGTGAACCAAGCTTCAGAGTCGACGAAACAGGCGACAGAGAATGTCCGACAGAAGTTTAACCAGGCGGCAGGAGAAGCTGGAAACAAAGCGGACAGGGTTTGCCCCCTTTCGTTACCTTCCTCTATCGTTGACCTGATACATATCTGCACGTGTTACAGGTTTAAGCCGGTTTCCAGAAAAGCAAGGACATGAAGTCTGAGATGAGGAAGTGAAGTATGGGCGGGGAAAGCCAAAACGTTGTATCCCCAATACGTCTATTGTATCATTAATCGAGCCATTCAACAAGAAGTCCTGGGAGCAAAGCCGAACTTGAGCTTCATATTCGTGTCCAAAATCCCATAACCGGGTTCCTGATAGTCCGAGTAGAGATGGGCGAACCAGCCGACACCGCCCCCTGGGACTGTTTTGAAATACGAACATTTAGAGTCCAAGAGGGCGTAATATTTCTAGCCAAGCAAGTGAGTAATCGAGGTGGCACATTGGAAAAGCACCCACGGATTCTTCGGCAACGCTGGCAATGGCATTCGGACTGTTTGGTTCAACCCCTGGGTACGTGACAGACGGCCATCCGTTCTTTGTATTCGGCGTCGGTGAGGGGCAAATCGTACATGAAGGAAGTCTGTCACGTACTTGGCTGAACCAAATTTTCCTCCCTCCAACGCGTTGAACGAACCAATCAAGATCGTTCTGAACGTCCTTCCAAGCCTGGTCACCTGCAATGGAATAGGGTCATTCTTGGCTGGTAGTTGGATCAACAGCACGCTCGCCTGTCGACGCATCGCTCGCAAAGAAAGGCAGGATATGGGCATCTATAACATCAATAGCAGCCAGCACATCCGCTGCACCGTTATGTTCCTGGAACCCATACGCCATTTCACTGATAGTCACCGGAATGTTGAGGTTCGCCAACGTAGCTTTGGCAGCCCTGACCTGCTCCGCCAATTGCGCAGGGTCCAAAGCCCAATCGTACAACGGTTCCGAGCCGAATTGCAAGACGCGAGTAACGAACTTGGCTTTCGGGTTGGATTGCAAGGACCTGAAGAGGTTGTCCCGACGAGTCTTCCAGATATTTGGATCATCCCAGCCGAACCATATAAGCGCATGTACTCCGAGGCCATTTTCCCAAGCGGCCTCAGTAATATCATCGCTGGTCGAATATCAAGCACGGAATGAGGAAAAGCACGGAATGGCTCACTAGTAGTTGGCCCGATCGCAAGCCCCATACAAGCGAATATAGCGCCCTTTAAATCGCTTCCGGATATCAGCGAACTCTGAGTTTAACGTGCTCTTGCTCTGACCTGTATAAATAGAAACGTCAGCTAGTGGAGCGAACAGCGAGAGGGATCGAGCTCGCATTGCGTGATTTCGTAACTGAACCCTACAAAACCGTATTCCGTACTGCTATCACACCACCAGCCGTCTAGGGAACTCGGTACAGTGGTAGGCATCTTGAACCCAAGTGCCGGGAAACATGCATCGGCGGGGGACTCCGATTCAGACGTCGGTAAGAGGAGGGTGTTGTTGAACAAGAGCAAAGGTTGTTCTTTTACCACTGCCATGGATCGCGAGAGCGTCAGCCAAGCCAGGGCAACGGAGAGGGCCTTTCGCAATATCATAGGAGTGTGATGAAGCAGATGTCGCTTCTCGTTTAGGAGGTTGGGATAGAGGAGTGGCGAGGGGTGAGGATAGAGTGTTATATACCAGACAGAGGCTGTCGCAGAGAAAGGCGACCTAGAGTGGACAAGTTCCCAACACTACTATCTAAGTGATGTAGGGGGATGAGGCGGATGGTATGTCACGGCTGACTAGTATTCTCCGCATCCGATCAGACCAAGGGTTGGATATATACGGGACAGCCAGCCCAAGAGCGAGTCCTCGTGGCGCCGACACAACAAAATGGACACATTCATCGTTGTCGCCAAGCCCTTCATTAAGGTAGCAACGCAAACTGGGGTAGATCCATTCAAGGCTGTCAAGTCTTATGAAGTTGACGCCGGTATGTTCTCGACCGATGTCAGGGATGGGAACAATTCATAGGGGTGTGAAAGATAACAGGAACTACCCTTCAGGATGGAATGTGGATATCGCGTGTATCATACAGACCACAGACCGGTTTGTGGTGCGAAGTAGCCATCTCATAGCACTCGAAGCCGTCCCAAGTATGGTTGTTGCCAAGTTGGCTTCATCTGAGGTGCTAACAGAAATGTAGCCAAGTCGTTTTCAACCCTGGGTCTAGGAGCATAGGACTACGAGCAAGGGTTTGAGGTGAGGGCATCGCACAGGCGAGGGATGGTGGTGGTGGTTGTGAAGAAAAGTCACAGGCGTGGCCTGATGGATCCTGGAACGAGGACGGTGTTCCACCTGAACGTACCCTTCGAATGCATGTAATGTACTTGGCTGATTATACAACTGTGTAGGAAGCCATGGTTCTATAGTGTAGTGGTTATCACACGGGATTCTGACTTGTCAAATTCCCGTAACCCCGGTTCGAACCCGGGTAGGACCTCTTTTTTTTTCTTCTGAGGACTTCTCTCGATCCATTCCTCTTGGGCATCTCAGAGATTTACGTCTCCTTTTTTGGTGGGGATGCAGGACCCCAGGATTTTGGCGCTACTTTGGTTTCGTTCACTCTGCGGGGGGGAAGGGAGGACTCGCTCGGGACATTGCATTGCATCCTTGGCGGTCCTGATGTTGCGTAATGATGATCGGCTGGAGCGAGATGCATCGTCCGTCGGAATGAGAGGTCCACGGACGTAGTCGGAGATGGCACTGCAGAGGCACAGCGACTGAGTGACATTTCCTCGACATCGACTTTGGACTTGCCCCTAATTTCCGTGGGAGAGGGAAGTGTTTGCAGTAAGGCGCTCTGCCGGGGGGGGGCAGAGCTGTACGGAGATCATCCCTTCAGGAATGCCGGTTGCCGGCAATGCGAATAACATTCATTCGACTTCTCATCTTGTACATACGGGAAATCCGCAACAGTGGGCCGGGCTGCGGCCAGGCTATGCTTATCTCACCAGTTGGTTTAGTGTGCAGATGTCGTCCAAAATGAATGTTATGCTGCAACCAGCGTGACACAGCGGCGTTTTTCCAGGTCGAAACCCCAGTAACACCGTCCGTTCTCCCTCCTCTTCCATCGGTATTTCCGGCCCCTGTGCTGCGTTGGTTGCTGTAGATAGCGAATAGAAATCCGGAGGTATTTGTGGATACCCCGATGACCCCAGTGGCGGACAGGAACCGATGAGTTCCAAGTCGTGACATCACGCCCCTCACCTCGCCTCACATAACCAAACCCCCAGCTAAAATTACACCCCCGCTAATCCTGTGTACGCCCCCTCCCCCACTCATTCCCCCACACCCTCCCCCTGGCAATGTCCATGGCCTCCAACCAACTACATGAGGCCCAGGTCCGCGAGACCTTCCTAAACGACCAAGCCAAGGGCGTGGCAGTTCACTCTTTCAATCCAGACGCGACTCCAGAAGAGAAAGCTGCCGTCGCAGGGAAAGCGCACGACCAACCCAAAGACCTCGACCCGGCAAAAGGTTCGTCTATTAACCATCTGAACCTAACTGGGCCTCACCTCCTATACCTATCGCCAGAGCTCCCTGTCGATACCGGAAATTCGAATGTCATACCCACGATAACTGTTCAGGACGTCGAAGCCCATCCGAACGATGTTGCAACGATCGTAAAACCTGCTCAAACACCTGGATCAATAGACGCTGGTCCCTATGTTATACCGGATTGGTACAAAGTCGGCTGGCGCGCAGCTGGTGGCCTCGATGCCCCCGAACTACAAGGAGAAGCCAAAGATGCTGCGATTCTTTCAACCTTCCTTAAAGAGCAGTACTATGGTGACTGGTATCACAATGCTGGCCTAGTTTTCTTCGTAAGTACTGCTCCTCCGCCCTCCCATGACAAAATCCAACCGATCGTTCGACCAGGCGGTGTTTGCAACTCGTTTCTTGACCTTGTTCCGCTTTGGATGGGGCTGGCTAATCATCCTACTCGCCATTTGCGTTACATACTATTCCGCTTCTATGGCTCGTGTGAGGAGGCGGGCCCGCGACGACATTCAGCGTGAGCTTCTCAAGTCAAGACTCGCCTCCGAGCATGAAAGTGCAGAGTGGTTGAACCATTTCCTCCAGAGATTCTGGGTAATCTACGAACCAGTCCTCTCTGCAACCGTCGTCTCCACCGTGGACCAGCTCTTATCAGCCAACTGTCCCCCTTTCCTCGACTCCCTTCGTCTCACCACCTTCACTCTCGGAAACAAAGCATTCCGCATCGACCAGGTCCGCACATTCCCAAAGACCGAGGAAGATATCGTCATGATGGATTGGGCCGTGTCCTTTACTCCCAACGATGTCTCTGATATGACCCCAAAAGAGGCTGTAAAGAAAGTCAATCCCAAGATCGTCCTTTCCGTTCGTCTCGGCAAGGGCCTCGCGACTACAGCAATGCCCATCTTACTGGAGGATCTTAGTTTCTCCGGCAACATGCGTGTTCGAATGAAACTCATGACCAACTTCCCCCACGTCCAGCTGGTCGACCTCACCTTTTTGGAACCACCCATTTTTGATTACGTTTTGAAACCGATTGGAGGGGAGCATTTCGGGTTCGATATCGGACATGTGAGCACCACCCAGGCCCGTCACAATCTATACGCTAACATTGCGCTAGCTTCCCGGACTTTCTCCATTCATCCGAAACACGGTCCATAGCATCCTGGGACCGATGATGTATGACCCACATGTCTTTACCCTCAATCTCGAGCAGATCCTTTCCGGTATCCCTCTCGATGCCGCTATCGGTGTTCTCCAGGTCGTCGTCCGCTCCGCACGTGATATCAAAGGTGGGAAGATCGGTGGTGGCACCCCGGACCCGTATGTTAGCCTCACGCTCAACGAGAGAGCTGAGCTTGCCAAGACCAAGTACAAACACGACACGTCAGTCATCGTTATGTGGGTGATGTTTTGTTGACACTGACAGTGTTCTAGTCACAACCCCACTTGGATGGAAACCAAATTCCTGCTCGTCAATTCGCTTCATGAGTCCCTCGTTTTGAATGTCGTGGACTACAACGATCATCGACCCGATACTCACATGGGCTCAGCTTCCTTTGCTCTTGGCATTCTTGAACACGATGCTGCTCAGGAGGATATCTCACGCCCCATCTTGAAGGATGGTAAAGATCGTGGAGAACTCAGGTTCGATGTCAGCTTCTATCCCGTCATCTCCCTTTCGAAAACTAGCGAAGGAACCGTCCAGAAGCTTCCAGAGACGAGTACATCTCAATGTATCATTTGACGGGCACCACTGACCTTCTCTCGTAGACGTTGGTATAGTGCGATTGGTCCTCCATCAGGCTAAAGACCTCGACCACAGCAAGTCTATGTCAGGCGACCTCAATCCATTCGTCAAGGTTTACCTGGGTAACCAATCCACCCCAACCCACATCTCTAACCACCTCAGGCACACGAACAACCCCGTGTGGGAGTCTGCCACGGAATTCTTGTGCACCGATAAAAAGACGTCCATAATCACAGTTAAAGTCATTGACGACAGAGACTTCCTGAAGGATCCAGTTGTCGGCTACATGTCTGTGAGGCTTACTGACCTGCTCCGGGCCAAGGAGCAAGCTGGTAGGGACTGGTGGCCGCTGAGTGGATGCAATTCTGGCAGGATCAGGCTGTCGACTGAGTGGAAGCCGCTTGACTTGAGCTTGCACGGGGTGGATCGGTATGTACCGCCCATTGGTGTGGTCAGATTGTGGTTGAAGAAGGCAACGGATGTCAAGTGAGTACGATCCTGGACGATCCATCTCCGTGGTTTCTGACCGGGATTATAGGAACGTCGAGGCCGCCTTGGGTGGCAAGGTTTGTCTCATCCCCAAAGTTGAACTTTGCCAGAGTACTCACGGTATTATTAGAGTGATCCATACGTCCGCGTCCTCGTCAATAACGTGATTGAAGCTCGAACTGAGGTCATCAACAACAGTAGGTTGGAACTTTCACTAGGAGGTCAAGAAACTAAATCATTTGCTCAGACCTCAACCCTGTCTGGGATCAGATCATCTACGTTCCTGGTAGGAAGCTGTTCATTTCCCATGATAAAGTCACTAATACTCCTCTGTAGTTCACTCTATGAAGGAGACGCTGTTCCTGGAATGTATGGACTACCAGCACGTCACAAAGGACCGTACCTTGGGATACACGGAACTGTGCCCCAACGAACTTGCCATAGAGGTGGACTCCGAAGAATACCCCTACCGGTCAACCGGGAAGAAGGTCGAGGCTGCGGACCTCAAGCTTGAAAAGGGAATTTTCAAAGGGCAGCTTCACTACGAGGCCGAGTTTATCCCAGCTCTCGCCCTCAAGAACTTCAAATTCAGTACCGGCGGTAACGATATTCAACATGCTATCAGCCGTCCTAATGGCGATGCTAGCAGCATCGCCAACGGAGATGGAGGTTCAATCTCATCTTCGGATGTCGAGGCCGAATCTGTCCCTGCCGGCATCACAACTCGTGGACCTCTTGGTGTGAAGAGCAGTGAGAATCATGTGAAGGAAAAGGGATCTACGGACACTGCGCTTACGGCAGATGGCGATTTCGATACCCATCCAATCATCGACCCACCGGTTGCTAATGAGAAAGCGGGGTCCGGAAAGGGCGTTGTATTGTCCAAGGAGGAGTTAATGCAACACCGTAAGCCCAGATACTCCCTATCATCATTAAAACCCTTACTGTTGCTTTAGAATCCGGTATTATTGTCTTCAACATTACTACTGCACAGTTGACGAGGAAAGCTCGTCTTGAGGTTTTGTTGGATGATGCATACTGGCCCGCGTTCACCACCTCCATGGCTCGTAGTCGCAACGTGACTTGGGATTACACTGGCGAAGGGTTCATTAAGGAGTTGGATTTCGGCCGCGTCTGGTTGAGGTTCAACGAGGCCGATGAAGGAACGAGGGACGATATTATTGCTGAGTGGAAGGAGGACGCGAAGAAATTCCTCCAGGAAGCTATGGTTCGTTCAATGTCTCTTCGTGGTCTACATTCGGGGTTGGTTTGACACGTCTCGACAGAATGGCACTGTCAAGCGAACCCTGTTCGATTCAGATGGAAAGTCTATGGGAACCGTAGAATTGGAGGCTCGCTACATCCCTGTTCCCATCAAGTTGGAACCGAGGGAAAGCATTAACAGTGAGCGGGACGTCCCTCTCTCCCCACGTACGACTAAGCCCCCTTTCAGATCAGGGTGTTCTCCAAGTCCAACTCCTCAACGGTGGAGACATCATTGGTGCGGATCGAAGCGGTGTGTTCTTTCCCTTTTGAACGTCGCTTACCCTGACTTATTTCATCGGTTCAGGTAAATCCGACCCCTTCGTTGTCTTCACTCTCAATGGCCAGAAGGTTTTCAAGTCTCAGACGAAGAAGAAGACACTCAGTCCTGAATGGAATGAAACATTTGCTGCCATGATCGTAAGTTTCACTTCTGTATA